TCACAGCATATAATAAAAATTATAACAAAAGCAAAGTTTTGTTCAAATAATCCAATAAAATGTATAACAAATACAATACAAAAGTAAAACAAATATAAATCCAATTTTTGGTGAAAATATTTTCTTAAGAAATGCAAACAATTTATTATGAATTCCTAGAAATTGTTTTTTAGTAATAAGTAAATTCCCAGATCTATATGTATTGTTCAATAGAGATAAGCATTTCTTGGAAAATGCATAATTAGTATATAAATCAAAATATAATTAACAGTTTCTATTATAATTAGGTGTTATAATTCAGTGATAATTAACAATTAATATTTTGTTTTATAACAAATTTTTAATATATGCAGAGTTTATGGCACAAAATGTACTAAAAATGTAAATTAAGGGCAATGTGTGGTAATTTATAAGTTGTGGTTTTGCCACTAAAGTGACATGGTGTATATTTGGTTAACATATATAACCTGGGTTATATAGTGTACGTGAGCAGTATTAAATAATTTTATTTAATTGATGATGCACATTTGCATCAATCAACGTCAATCAATATTATTCGCAAATCACTATAATTTTGCATCAAATTAAATAAATAATGATTTGTAAAAATATACAATACAGACACAAAGCATTATTTAATTGCTTAAACATCGATATAAATTCAAAAAGACATAAAACATGATAAAAATCAATACAAATGACACACAAAATGCAATCAAAAGCGGCGCTTATTTCAATGTTGGGGTGTATTGTATGGCATACAGTGTATGGCAGGGAAGCGAACCCTCTGTTGAGTATTACTGCTGTGCATAACATGTGATGAAATGTGTCTCACATTTGACTCGTATTTAGCACTCAATTGACATTTAATTGAAGTTTTCGTTCAAAACATTCATTCAATTAATCGTTGCTTTCATTTGAAGTCTTCGCTAAAACAAAACACACCTTCAGATCGGATCCAAAGACACCGCAAAACAGGTGAACAGTAAGTGATTTATACATATTGTTTGCACTCATTGTTTACCATTTGTTTTGTCGCTTTGTTTGTATGGTTGGGATCCGTTTGGGGTGACAATCGCGCAGACAATGAGTGGTAAGCCATTAGACGGCACTAATCGTGGCGTCAGTTGCGAGGAAGAGATTGAAGAGCGTCTTCGACGGCTCAAAGAGGACACCACCGCCGCTGACGACGACAGCCAACGGCCAGTGACTGACCAGAAGGCCATCGAAGAGCGTTTGGCGCGTCTGAAGGGAATGGATCCGCGGCTCTACTCAATGCCACCCATAACTGTGTTTCAGCCGACGAGACATAAGACGGACACACAGAAGGCCGACGACCTCTTGAAACAGTTTGTCGACGAGCTTAAGATTGACGAC